ACACACATTTTAAGGAACTGTACAGTTCTCTGACTTGTGGGATTCAATTGAGCTCTTCAGAAAAACATGGCAGATACTTTCCCCAATCCTGCAAAGCTCCTCATAAATCATCCCATTTTGCTCTATGTGATGATTCACGTACATAGGTAAATATTTACAAATTCACAGTCAGAGTCCTTTCTCTTTGGACTTTCAGACAAAACATTCAAATCTGACTTAATAGTTTAATTCTCATTTACACATGATATACACGGGATATGGATATGTCTAGTTAGACATCTAGTTTTGTTGATTCACTTTATTTTTAATCATTTAAGGAAATAAACTTTAGTAGTAAATGCAAAGGGGTAGGTGACACAGTGGGTTAATACAAAGACCATTCACTGCTGGAAATTAAAATTAAAATTTTGATTATTTTGCCAATACAAAACCTCTGCCTGTTTAGGACATAGTTTTCAGTTCAGTTCTAGAGGGATTCAAAACACTGATCCTGCTTTTCCTAGGATCCGAGTTCATCACATGAAGTTCTGCATTCCAGTGGCTGTAACTGGGATTGAGGGCACTTGGCACCTTGCAGGAGCTGGTGCTTTGAGAACAAGCCAGCATGTTGCATAGCAGGATTCAAGTGCACTACCTGACAAAGCTATTTGAATAAGCTTCCAGTGCCCCTGACCACACTATTCCTGACTCTGGACTTTCCATCAGTCCCTCAACCTCATTAGCACCAAATTCATCCTCAAAAATAAATAAAAGCAGAGCATAATAGCACTGTTTATTAACTGTACACTGAAGTCCTGTCCAAGCCATATAACATGTCCTACCCTGTCTTGTCAATGCAGCAGCTTTAATATAAACATTTCAAATAGTTTGAGTGTGAATCGCATAGACATCTGCAAGGAAGATATTTTCACACTGTCCTTGCACAAAGAGAGAGAAAAACAAAGCACTAAACATTAAGGGTGTGTGAAGTGGGCTGTATTCAATTTGGATTTGGATTCAGCCCGATTCAGGGGACAGTGATTCGATTTGTTGATTCAGATCATTGTCCAGATTCAATTCTGCCGAATCTGAAGATTTGATGCTGATTCAGAGAATCAGCAATTCAGCCATAGACACAGATTTGAATCAGTTCAGAGATATTTGGAGAGATTCAATGATTCAGCCATGGACACCACTTTAAATGTTTTTTTCTACATACCTTGAGGTACTAGGTGAAGTTTGTGAACACTGAGATGGTGGGGTGGATAGGGCATCCCACAGGAGTGCAGGGGGCCCCCCGCATACTCAACAGTGGACCCCCCCTGCACCTGCTGGCTCAGCAATCAGCCATGGGGGGACCCTGGGTGCCCCCCCCAGACCCAGAAGGCACCAGTCACCAAGCCAGGAGCCGGGGGGAGGGTTCCCCACATACTCTCCAGCGGACCTGGAAGTGGACTGGAAGGGCTTCTGGTCCACTTCTGGGTCCATTGCTGAGCATGCTGAAGACATCCCCCCCAATGCTCCTGTGTGACGCTCCAACTGCCCCATCATCTCAGCAGTCACAAACCGCCTGGTACCTTGAGGTATGTAGAAAACACATTTAAAGCTGTGTCTATGCCCAAATAGTCGAATCTCTCCAGCTCTCTCCAAATTGATTTGGAGAGTTCCCATTCAATTTGGAGAAATTAAAGGGTCTCCTGATTCAGTTTGGATTTGGAGATTTGGCCACCAAATTTGGCTGAATCTCCACCAAATTGAATCAGTGACCGAAGCTTCATACAGCCCTACTAAACATCTCTTCCCCCACCCCTTCCAAAGAAAGTCTTGTTTACATAGTTTCAAATTGTTGTGGCCATTATCAGCTTGAAATCTATAGAATTAGACTTGCTTCCTACCCAAAAGTGGTTAGTTTAAATATGAGATTTATTTCAGTTGATTGGTGAATTCGAGTGCTGAGAATATTGACAAGGAAAGAGGATCCCTAAAAAAAGAGTTTCAAGGCAACAAGCAATATCCTTGCCCAAATAAAATAAAAAAAACTGCTTGGAAAATAAAAAGAAAAAATAGTTTAGCCTGTTTTAATCTGTTTTTTATCATCATTATTACTGAACAAACAAAACAGATTGAATTTAATTTAAAAAATAAGTACAAGATTAATATGCACTAGGATCTGATCCATAATGGAAAGAATGAGACACCCTCCTGCCTACTCCATACTAACATCCAAAAAGAGAGTTTTGCCCTAGAAAGAAAGATCTCTTTCATGTAGACCACAATAATTTTCTATTGATTTTAGTTGAAAGAGGATTGTATAATAATTTATACTATCACTATAGGCAGCAAAATAAAATAGAAAAATAAGTATATTAAGACATAACATAATCATAGCAAGGTGACATTTCCAAGCCAGTTACTTAAATTGGTAACTAGTATTTCACTATGGGTTTTCACCAATGTATAAATAAACATTTTTTTCCACAGGAGCTACCCATATGGGCAGAGAAGATCATTTAAGTTTCATGTTATTTTTTCAGTAGCTGGTGAAGCTGTACAAGTTTGTCCACTGATTGGCTCCATGTCTTCCACTGCATCACTGGATAACTGTTAGAATCAATTTAAATCAAATTACATGCATAAATCTAATTATCTGCTATTGTTTATAGAAGCAAGCCTTCAGGGATTTAACAGACGGGAAACAAAGTGTGAAGCAAAGCTTTGAAGTGGGTGGTTCTATTCCACTGCCCCTCAGCTTTCAGGTGTTCAAAAATACAGGAAAATAGCATTATAAAAATGCAGCCTACTATAGGGCATGCACAATAAATTATTAAAAAGGCATCAAAGTCCTGATTGGTTCTTTTTGCTTGTTTGTTTCCAATTACTAAAGCAAGCTTAAGTTTTTAAGGTTTTTTTAAATCTAATATCTTTGTGGAAAAAAACATAGATTCTGAAAAAAATTAACAAGAATAAAATACAACATTAATTTCCATTAGTTTGACAGTTATTGTTTTTAGATCTTGGTTTGTCAATGGTTACCCCTTTCATGGTGAAGTCTACAATATGGTACCTCTTCATTCTTAGGAAAAAAATTGTTCATAAGCATAAGTTAAATTTCTGGTATAATTGGAGCATATTGGGCATGGATCTTTCTCTCTCTCTCTGCCCTCGCCCCCTCAAGTACTGTAAATCTGGAATAATTCCATTCTAGGCAATATCAAATGGATATAAATGATATAAGAATCAAGCCTATATTTTATTGTATTCTCCTGCTTTTTACAAACTTTTTTTATACATATGTTTCTCTTACGTTTGGGTTGCGTTGATTAGATCTCTTTGCATGAATGAGACATATCCATTCTAGTTATGAGGCACAATGCCCATTAACCAATATAAAAAAAATTCCACTCTTGCAATCCAATCTTACAAACCCAGAAGGGCAAGTGTCAGTTACAAAATCTTTACATTATCTGGGACAGAACATTAGAAGCTAGTAGATACAATTGCATTATTAGGCTGATAATGTAAAATAAACATATTCAGGCATTTTTAAAGCCATTTAACATGTAACATGTTCACCTCCTCTTCATTCTCTCTGCAATTCCATTTGTCCTGGAACACTACATCATGAACATTTTCATGAACTTTCCTCTAAATTGCCCTATTTGCTATTCACAGGATGTTTTATTATTTAACATCTTTCAACTTTTTTCTTCCCCTGTTGACTGTGGTATTATATTATAAATTACACTTCCCATAAACTGTACTATTCATCCCTTTCAGGAAAAGAATACTTAACACTAATACATGAATCTTAAAAGGAGTGTTTTGTTTGCATTATTTTCTCATTTGTTACTGTTTAGAGCATAGCGTTGATACCTATTTTTAAGAAATCAAAACAATAGACAGTCAGCTGTCCTAGACCTCATACCTACCTCTGGAGCTCTCTGATCTTTGCTAGTAGCTTTTCCATGCTATAAACAAATGTCTATTGTTTTTAAATACTTAGGTAGTTGTTAACAAAAATGAAATAAGGAATAGCTCAAAAAAATCTCTGTAATGCTCCTAGCCAGGCTTTATCTTTATGACACTAACGACAATCCCCTGTGTAATTAACTGTAGAGTGGTTATGCATGCAGTATGCAGTCCATGACAAGCCTCATAGAAAATACATCAGTATTAGCCACAGGTGAATTCGTTTAGAAAGATTAATGACTGCACCTGAATTTTAATGTCTGAAAAGGGATGGAACACTGAATCCTTAATTAAAAAGTTGAATGACTGGTATGGTTTGTTTAACATCACAAATTTCAACCAGAGATTTTTATATTCAAATGAAGTCTGCAAAGGAGAACTTTCCTTAGAAGGTGGTGAAGTAAGGGTGAGAAGGAAAAATGTTTTATGTGCTTTGCTTTATGTAAATTGATACATGGATGAGTTGCTTTGATATGGATCAAATGTGGCATAATTATGGCTCCTTTCTGTTTACAGTGAATGAGAGGCAAAGAATTCCTAAGGAATGCCAGACAGTGCTAGACCAATATAAAGTTTGATGAGAAGAGTAGTAAAATTGACGAGTGATCTTATTCTTTCCTTAATGAGAGGCAGTTTCCTCTTCATTATTATGTTACAAAGTTTTTTAACGAAGAAAAAGTAACCTTGAAAAACACTGTTGCAGTCCCATTCCCAGAAGGTGCTTAACTCACTTTCTTCAAAACGCTGCTTTCAATTACTAAGTTAGTTAAATGTTATTCAGAGATCTGTAATCACCAATACAAAAAGTTTTCCAACAAATTTCTTGCATTTGTAATATGTAAAAAAGTGCGAAGAAAAATTTTGAGAGGAATAAATCATTTAAGTAGAGTTTTCATATCAAAATCCAAAAAAGCTAACATGATGACTATCTGTATTAAGAAGGTTCTTCTAACAGTGTTGTTGCTAAATTGCATCTCTTAGTGATTGTTCTCAATTGGTCTTAATCATTGACATGAACTGAAACCCTGGCAAAGCTTATTTAAACAGCAAAACAGATCAAGTGTTTTCACAAGCAAGACTGTGATGTATATTACTGACCTGGAGCAGAAACAGAAGGTCAGTTATTTTGCTGTTTTACTGCTAACAAATATGAGTCACACAAACTTTTTATTTTTAATGAGACCTCTTTTTAACTGTGCCAAAAGAAGGGAGCAAGTCTCTAAGCAAAAACAACAACACAAACAGTTCAATCACAGTTTGCCTTCCTAATAATCTAGCTGTATTTCCTGTATCTTAATTTTTCATCCCCTCAGAAAAAGAAAATCTACTGAAAAGTTGTAAAAAGGAAATCAGAGCTCAAAGAAAGAGGGCAGGGATTTAGTTTTGGAAGCAGCTGTGATCACTACTGTATAGCATAATAAAGCAGATTTTGATGCTCCCAAGCTTCAGCCCAATGTTTGCTGTATTGCATTTACTTCCAAGAAGAAATCAAATGTGGTTTTATTTCTGACCACTTTCCAAGGGAACGCAATTTTAATGAAATGTCATCCAAGAGAATTTGCAACTTCCTGTAAAAGCTTCTTTCTGGGCGGATGTGTGTGTGCATGTGTGTCCATATACATCTACATTAAAAAAAAACATAAAAATACTGTAGCTGTAATATTTTTTCAGACTGAAAGCAGTAAAGATAATATACTGCTTCCAATTCTCAGATCTTTTAGATTCTTCAATATTGGACTGAGGAAGAATACGTTTAGTGAACTATTACCATCTAAATGCACCATGTGCTTGCTACTGCATATTTCCATGACTTGTGTTACACTGGGAGACAATTGGTTTCATATGGATTTTAATTGTAAATATTTACAAATTGTAAATATTTTTATGGAGTGTTTAATTCTCTGAAATCTAAGGATACAGTTAAAATGGACATGTAAAATAATGGTAATTCCTTAACAATTCTTTACTTGATGAACTCCTTTAATCCATTTGGCAAAGCCAATCTGGAGGAAACAGCTTTGAACAGGCAAAATAGTGGGTTTCTTAATGCCAGTTAAAATCAGTTGGAAAGGTGGTACTGAACTTGGAACAAGGATATACTGATTACTTGCAACGTTGTAAGTCCTTGGCTTTCTGCAGCTATTTACACAAAATGCCAGTTGATTTGAGCAAACCCAATATCTTAGCAGTTCAGTCGGCTCAGATGCTTAACTAAAAATGTTACCTAGCATGTTCAGACTTGATGAGTCTTTCCATTAACTTTGGGTATTGAATCAGGCCCATAATGTACTAGGCAAACAACACATGAAGTAGGTAATCATTGGTGCTCTAATTTTTATGAGGAAAGTCAAGGCAAGAGCTGCAGCTTGGTCTACACTATGAAGTTTTGCCTGCTTAGCTAGCCATTTGGAGGTGTGACATGCCTGAGTCAACATAGCTATGCTGGGAAAAAACCCAGTGTAGAAACAGCTGTGACAGCAAAAGAGGGCTCTTGCCAACTAAACTTTTCGTGCTGGGGACCTGGTGCAGTTAGGCCACCAGGGGAAAAAAAAGCCTTTTGTTGCCATTTGCCTCCACTAAGAGGGGCTCTGCCACCATACCTGTCCCACAGCACCTCTGGTGGCACCAACCATGAAATGTAGCCAACCCCTGAGATGAGAAACCCAGAATTCCTGGCTCCAGTACCAAGATAAAACATTTCTCCATGATTTTGTTTGTTCGTTGTTGGGTTTTTTTAATTCGTTGGTCTGGAAATTAAGCTGAAAATCAACTTGCTGTTTTGGCTGGCTCAAAGATACAGCAATGAGAGAGTTGCTGTTCATAAACAACAGGAATCACACAAATGTGAAAAAATGCTGAGCACTGAAGACAAGATGTGTTTTGAGGAAAGTTTTGGTCAGTCCTTATTTCTCTTTTTCTAGTTTTATTTTCAACTGTGTATTTATTATACATTCAGCTGAAAGCAACCCTAGAGTGAAAGTTTATTATATGGGCTGTTCATTGAAGATCCCTACATAAGTCACACTTGCTGCATTGTACTTTGTGTGGTTTTGCACCTAGTAGAGGGGAAGGCCTCTAGGGCCATGTCCAGATGAGCGCAGCCGTGGTGCTACATACTGCACGTTCAGAAATTCTCTGTGCTGCAAGGGAGTGCTTCCCATATGTGCGCTGCTCTGCTTTTTTTTTCATGGGTTTTTTGTTGTTGTTTTTTTTGGACTTGTGGATATCTAGGAGTAAAAAAAAAAAATGGGGGAAAAAAGTGGGGCAGTGCACACTGCTTAAAAGCAGAGTCAGGCCACCCAGAGCCACACTGCAGCTACCAACCAGGCTCCATGCAGCAGAATCACTGCTGCTGCAGCACTGGGAGGCTCCCAGAACCCCAGGTAAGGCTGCTGGCACCAGACCAGTGCTGGCCTCAGCTTCCCCAACCCCACCCGGGGTAACTGGTCATGTGTCAAAGCATGCATGGCACAGGCATTCCCTGAGGAGTGGGAACAAGTAGCAGTGGTGCAAGGTGCACTGCTGTTCTCTGTCCCCAATGAACCAAATGTCCACACCATGTGTGGACATGGCCTAGGGTTTTGAATTTGTGAGGCCTAAAGTTTCTAGTGCTCCACGTACATTTCACTTTGCATGAGCATGATCTGGCTTTACGTCATTGGAAATTCTCTTTTAGAATCAACATAATTTGAAAAGGGTGTATTTTAGTGGACCAATTGCGTAGACTGTTAACTCTATCCCAGTTATACATCCCACTAAAAAGATATCACCCTAAGAAATCCTTGCCTCTTGCACAATCTCTGAACCATCACAACTACAACATCACTCTAACACTATTATAATATGAAAAAATATTCTTAATGAAATTGTCCAATGGATACAATTAGAGTCTTACCTACTAGCTGGATACTTTCAAACTATTACTAACTACTTCATCCTGTAAAGAACTTGTTCAGTGTTGCATAAATGTAACACGAGTGATGTGAGAGATGGGGGGGGAGGTGACTAAGAATTTCTATGTAGTTTGCATCAAGTCTAGAAACCTGAAAAAGTCTTGTAGGGTTGGTGTTCTTAAAGCAACAATGGCTGAGAACCTCTTAAAAGAAGACTGTAAGTCGCAAGGTGCATTGTAAATCCCCACATCTGCAGTAATCTTAGCCTGTTTATCCGGAAGCCAGACACATGCAGTGCATTAGTGGATCAGATCTGAACCACTTTCCTTGCTGAATGAAGGAATATAATGCTTTCTGCCAGAAACTGATCTCAGCAGTGTGTTTGGGCAATGTTGAGTACAATACAAACTATTTTTTAGCACAATTTAGATCTGTAGTTATAGGTTGTAATATCTATAGGGGATAATTGAAACAGTTATGTTTCTTGAGGTAATCACTTGAACAATATGTAGCATCATAGGAAGAAGTGTAGTCCCAGCTAAAAGCTATTTGAAAACAATGTAGCCCACAGGGCACCCTGAGATAAGCTGATTCTCTTTTCATTACTTCATCTTAACCATCCATTAAAGGCTAAGCAGTCCATTCGGTCCTTATTTATGCCCTGTGGATCTTGAAGTTTCATGCTATATAAATGAAAAGCTACTACCTGGACCTGTCATTCAAATTGCAATTAGTTAGGGGTCTGCCTGCAGGAGTTTAGTGCATAAAGGAAATATGGAATCAAGGGAAGTAGAGGAAAAAGTAAGAACAAAAAAAGCACTTGGCCCATATGAGCATGTTACACACATTTTAATTTGTAAAATGTTCTGTAGTCTGGGGGGAGGAATGGGTACATAGGTTAAAGCAGCCCCAAGGCAATTTTAACTTCCACAACCAGGTCTTACTCAGCAGATTGCCATCGGTATCACTGACCTTGGCAACAGCACAAGAATCAGATATCCATATAAATAAACTCTTCTACAATTTCTTCAGTGTTTTAGGAATAAACACACTCTACTTCAACATTTAGGATTTTTTCCCTTCAGTCTGCTTTACCCAGCCCCATTTGAGCATTGATTGTTTTCCCTCCAATTCTCCCGCTGTGTACCGTGCATTTAAATTTTCCAAGGCACCAATTCATTGAAGAGGAAAAAGCTAACACTGAAAACATCCAAGAAAGAACTAGCTGATGTTACCCCAAATTGTCATTTAAATTATACAAAAATATAAGATCCAAGATACGTAACGGAGATTGAAATAAGGCCTGTATATTAGACTGACCCGTTGCTAAAATGTTAACCTAAACTGTGTTTTCACTATCTGACCATTGTTAGAAAAAACTGTAATGACACTGGTATAAAACTGAGATTTAGTGGCACATCTAATTGCTATATAAATTTAGTCTGTACATGTGTCAGCATATATGATTACAATATAAATTTAGGTACAATATCGATGTTTTGTTTTGAAGGAAAAAAATGTGTTTAAAACAACTATTTCTTAAGATACCCATAAAAGTGTCTGTATGAATATATGTATAGAAATAAATTTAAGCTTATTTATATTAAGGATAAGTAGCTGTGACTAGCACTTTGACATTATATTAAAGACTGTCTCAGTATCATTCTTATGCCAGACTGTTTGAATACTGTGTATCAGAGAAGCACATGGTAAGGTATTACTGAAAAAGAAATCATTCTTATAAATGGTGAGATTGAAGTAAGCATTGCCGGAATGAAAATGCAGTTCTTCTGAGATAAGTTACTCTTTAAGAACTTATACTCTAAGAAGTATTCTGGGTTTTTAAAGAGCTGCTACAGATTTAATATTTGTCTTCACAATAGAATATATGAAAAAAAATCAAGTATAGCACTTATTGATAAGTCCTTTGTCATATATTTTAATGTGTATGTAGTGTCCTTTGTGTACTGCAAAAAGGCATTATTATTTCCATTTTTAGTAAGAATTAAGACATATAGAAAATAAAAAAATCCTACAATGAGGTAAATGCCTCCAAAGCATTATATGTAAATACATTCATCTAGATAGAAAGAATATATATATATTGTATATGCATAAATCCTGTTTTCAAGTAACTAAAATAGTTCTAAACTAACACAGATGTCAAATGGTGCATAGTTGCATGTTTTCTGTATCACACAGAGTTGGGGCTTTATGCATTTC